GCTCAGGCGGGTCTCGAACCCACGGGCTCAGGCAATCCACTCACCTCAGCCTCCTAAAGGCGCGGGATTACAGGCTGAGCTACCGAGCCCAGCGATTACGAGGGCTTTTAAAAAACCAGGGAAGTGAGGTGATAAGATACGGCTAGTCAGAAAGCAATGTAAAGTTTTATCTGTTGTGGAAATACCAAAGAGACTCTGTACTAGTCTAAATACCCTTGCAGCGTGGAACTGAGCAGTCCCACTGCTGGGATCCCTAGAAATCTGTTAAGGCAACTTTCAGAGTAGACAGGTGAAGCTCAAAAGATACCTGAACTTTGTTGGCCAGGCTCTCCCTTTTCTTCCTTCTCTAACTTTCCCTTTAGCCAGGAATTTAAGTCCCTTAAATGTAGGTGTCCATTTAAGGACCTTAAATTAAGACCCTTTGACTTCTTGCTTTCTTAAAATTTTACAATGATTGACCACAGATTCTGTGTTTTCTAGTGCATATTTTAAAATATTTGTGTGAAGAATTTTAATATTAATTAAAAAATAAGTATATTTTTGTCAGTACATGCCTTCTTAAAAATAGTAATCATGTGGCTTTAAATACAACTTGTATTAAACAGGTTCAATTGTGAATATTTTTATAGTTATGTAATCCAAAGGAATTATTGTTGGGTTTGCTTGAACTGATTGAAGAGCCTTCTGGAAAACAGATATCCCAAATTATTCTTCTTTTACTTCAGCCATTACAAACAGGTAATGAGCACTTTGATTTATTAGTATATCTTGTTTTATCTGTGCCTTGATATTTATCCCAAAATGTCAATACTTTACCAAAGTAAAGTTTACAACTAATTATTGAGTATTTGCTTAAACTAATAATGGCAATGCCAATTCGAATCCTGCTGCTTATAAAAAGACAATAGTATTTGGCACAGAGTGGGCACCCAGTAAATATTCTGTTGAATGCCATACTATTTTTCATGTGCTCTATTGTAACCTATAGCTTTTTGCTAAACACTTTTTTTGTAGTTGGTGTCTCACTCTGTCACCCAGACTGGAGTGTAGTAGCATGATCACGGCTCACCACAGCCTTGACCTCCCCAGTCTCAGACGATCCTTCTTTCTCAGCCTCCCAAACCCAGCTAATTTTTATTTTTATTTTTTATTTGTAGAGATGAGGTCTCACTGTATTGCCTAGGTTGGTCTAAAACTCCTGGTCTCAAGCAGTCTTCCTGCCCTGGTCTCCCAAAGTGCTGGGATTACAGCCGTGAGCCACTGTGCCTGCCTCAGGCATTCTATCTACAACTTAACTCTCGAATTCTTCCTCTAAACATCCTTAAATTATTATCTCTGTTGTGTCTGCAATACTAAGTTGATAGCATTGATAGTCCTGTATCTTGGATAAGAATAGTTATCAAGTAGGGCACTGCTTGGCCTCTGTATTGGGAGGTTGAGATGGACATGCAGAGGTACTACTAAAGCATGAAATGAGGAAGTACTGGACGAGAAGGCTCACGGTTGAGTGTAGTAACAGTATTGTAAATAACGGGTCTTGGCAACCAAGACAGACAGTATATATCCATAGGAAGAAGCTGTTTTTCATTTGAGGAAATACATGTATCTCAGAGTCTGACAGAGGGACCTCGCAATTAAAATTGTGTTCTTTTTCTTTTTTTTTTTTTTTGAGTTGGAATGTCACTTTATCACCCAGGCTGGAGTGCAGTGGCATACTCACGGCTACCCCAGTGTCACCTGCTGGGCTCCAGAGATCCTTCCGCCTCAGCCTTCCAAGTAGCTGGAACTACAGGAACACACTACCACGCCCAACTAATTTTTTGATTTATTGTAGAGATGATGTCTCACCATGTTGCCCTAGCTAGTCTCGAACCTGCAGGCTCAGGCAATCCTCTTGCCTTGGCCAAATTTGTTTTCCTTTTTTTAAAAATTTGTTTTCAATATGAATGCCTGCCAGCTTCCATACCACCTGTAATATTCAGTCTTCCAGAATAAAATCTGATACTACCTTCCATTTGTACAGTGTTTTATAGTTTACAAGACACTCATATTTTGTGCTTATAACAATCAAAAACTATGGAAAAGGCCGAGCTCAGAGGCTCAGCCTGTAATCCCAGCACTTTGGGAGGCTGAGGCAAGTGGATTGCCTGAGCCCACAGGTTTAAGACCAGCCTGCGCAATTTGGTGAGCCCTTGTCTCTACAGTAAAAGTTAAAAAATTAGCCAAGCATGGTAGCACGCACCTGTAGTTTTGACTACTTGGAAAACTGAGGTGGAAGGATTACTGGAGCCCAGCAGGTCGATGCTGGGGTGGGCATGAGTGTGCCACTGCACTCCAACCTGGGTGACAGCGTGGGACTCCAACTCAAAAAATATATATATATGGAAAGAATGTGCTTCTGTCTTAAGTATATAGCCTGTTATAAACATAAGCTAAACAAGATTTCATGGCATCTGTTGCAAGATGCTCTATTATTTTATGCACAGCTAAGAAGGAAAAAACACTGCACATTAAGCTGTGATTTGTCATTCTGATTTCTCAGTTAAAATGTCACGGGGAGGGAGTTTCTTATAATTCTACATTTACAGAACTTCTTGTCCCGTGTTTAGCATCCTTTACGAGTCCACCTTAAGTAACAATTTGATCTCTGTTTTAGTGATCCAGAAGCTTCATAACAAGCCATATTCAGTTGGATTAGCATTGTCTACCCTTTGGAGTCAGCTATCTCTTCTTCCCGTTCCATACTCAAAAGAACAAATACAAACAGATGACTATGGCCTTTGTCAGTGTTGCAAGGCCTTAATAGAGTTCATTAAACCTTTTGTGGAAGAAGTCAGTAATAACAAAGAAAACTCACTGGAAAATGAAAATGAAAAGTTAAAGGATGAATTATTGAAATTGTGAGTATATTTTCCAGAACATCTTACAATGGACTTCAGTGATTGATAGTTCACTTATTCTGGTTTTTTGCCTTGTTTACCATGTAAATATAAGCCTAGTTTCAGATTTTGAGTTTTAGAAGCATATGGGGTTCAACTGATATAGCATGGAATTTCAGCGAAGCATTTGTATTTTTTAAAATTGTAAAACTAAAATCTGTGCATTTTATTTGCTTATATTCTTCTACATATTGCCTTTATCATAGTAGGTGAATAATGAAAGTGGGGCAAATAGATCCACAGAGCTCAAGGAGCCTCTCTGTTTTCCTCTCTTTTTGAAAGCAGCACAAGGACCACCAGACAGCTGAACCAGACAGCTTGACCACAAAAGCAGTAGCAGAGTACCCACCCGATAGCTTTCACTCCATGGGTGCTATAAACTAAACATGCACTATTCAGTATGGCCGTTAAGTACTTATATGACTAATCCAAATTCAGATGTACTCTAAGTATAAAATGAAAAAAAAAGTAAAATATCTCAATAATTTCTATACTGATAACATGTTGAAATGATATTTTAGATACATTGGGTTAATTAAGATAAATTATTAAAATTAATTTCTCCCATTTCTTACTACTTTTTTCATGTGACTACTAAAAGATATTAATGATGTAAGGGGCTGGCATTATATTTCTATTGGATAGCCCTGGACTTGATTACTGAATTACATAAACCAATGATTTTATTTTGGCTACTCAGGAGGCTGAGGCTTCAGGAGGATCACTTGGGGCCAGGAGTTGGAGACCAGCCTAAGGAACATAATGAGACCCCTGTCTCTAAAAAATAAAATAGTGATTTTTAAATTTTGAAGACTAAAACAATCTTTAGCTTTCAGGTTAGGACATTTAAAAAAAATGTAGTTTGTAAAACCCATTTGTCATAGAAGAAAAAAATAACTAAAAAAATAGGAAAGGCTTAATCACAGAATAAAGTTTGGTTTTCTAAATAAAATAAATGTAGCTTTACGAAAAATGACCACATTGTGCCAATCTTTCCTTGAACTAATGAAAACTACCTAATGGATTAGCACCAATCCTCAGACATTTAGAATCCAGTGAAACAGTCTAGGCATAGAAGTCAGTCTTACCATGTTGAGTCTATCAAGGTGTTCTCACATTTTCCTGTTTCTAGTAAGAAAGATGTTACATCACCAGTTTTATAGGCCATTGAGTTATTCGTGCATGTCTTATAGTGTGTGCTGCTATAACAATACCTGAGACTGTGTGCTTTATAATGAACAGAAATTCACTGGCTTACAATTCTGGAAGCTGGAAAGTCCAGGATTAAGATGCAGGCATCTGGCAAGGGTCTTCTTGCTGCTTTATCATGGGGCTGAAGGAGGAAGGCAAGAGATAAAAGGAAGCTGAACTTGCCATTTTATAACAGTATTAACTCCACCCACAAAGGGGAGCCCTCCTGGCATAATTCCCACTTCTTAATGGCAACTACATTTTGACATGAGTTTTGGAGGGGACAGACATTTAAACAATAGCAGTGCTTGTTATTTTTCAGGTAAAATTAACTTAGATATGAAGAATTAGATATTTTATGCTTGGGAAGTGTTGATTTCATAGTCACCTATTTCTTATACCTTAGTTGTTTCAAAAGCTTAAAAAGCCCTTTGCTGACAGCGCAATTCATCGAACAGTCTGAAGCAGCTGGAGGTGATCCTTTAAGGTATTTTGCATCTGAAATAATAGTAAGTACAGTTGATCTAATCTAGAATCTAAAATGTTACCCTGCTGTGTTTTCATATTTTGCACATGGGCATGTAAAGTGGAACATCTGTTAACCCTTTGTACTTGGAGACTTCTCACAGATCACCCAACAGCAACTCAACCACACTTTTTTATGAAATAGTAAAAAATGAATCACCTCCTAGTAAATAGCATAGTGTTAGAACCAATTATTTTATTGTAATGATAACTGGTTAATAATGGAATTTGGGACATTGAGGAACTTATTTATGACAAAAAAATCAAAATTGTTTATCTTATATTTTTTTCTAACATTTGAAACAGTCTCCGACATGCATTGCAGATTCAGTGATACACTCTGTGCAGTAGTAATTTGTTTGACATATTCCACCTGGTGATTTTCTATTCGAGCAGACAATGCAGTCTTGTTACTTCCTTCCACATTAATAATATGTGATTTGTAGTCCATTCTGTTGTTCAAAGACATTGTGGAAAGACGCAATTGTGATTCTGAAAACCACAAAGAATCTTTGAGTCTAAATCTAACTTATCTTCACCACTTCTTATATTATAACTCTCACTTGTCTTTGTTTTTCCATTGTTCTGCAAACTAAATACATGGATAAAAAAATTCTAATTGTAAATTACAAAATCATGAAATGAAATTTATCAAAAGAATATTACTCTTGCTGGGCTCGGTGGCTCAGCCTGTAATCCCGCGCCTTTGGGAGGCTGAGGTGAGTGGATTGCCTGAGCCCGCGGGTTCGAGACCCGCCTGGGCAGCGAGACCTCATCTGCTACATAAATCAAAAAATCAGCCGGGCGTGGTAGCGCATGCCTGTAATTCCGGCTACTTGGAAGGCTGAGGCGGAAGGATCGCCGGAGCCCAGCAGGTCAAGGCTGTGGTGGCTGGGAGCAACCACTGCACTCCAGTCTGGGCGATAGAGTGAGACTCCAATTCAAAAAAAAAAAAAGAATATTACTCTTCCAACTTAGTGCAGATAGATGTATTTGATCTGTGCCACTCGATACTTCAATATGATCTGCCTTTAACTTTGAAAGTCTCTTTCTTGGCCGGGCTCGGTGGTTCAGCCTGTAATCCTGGCACTTTGGGAGGCCAAGGTGAGCAGACTGCCTGAGCCCGCAGGTTTGAGACTGGCCTGGGCAACTTGGTGAGCCCTCGTCTCTACAATAAATTAAGAAAATAAAATTAGCTGGGCATGGTAGCACGTGCCTGTAGTTCCAGCTACTTGGAAGGCTGAGGTGGAAGGATTGCTGGAGCCCAGCAGGTCGACGCTGGGGTGGCCGTGAGTGTGCCACAGCACTCCAGCCTGGGCGACTGAGTGAGACTCCAACTCAATAAAAAAAAAAGTCTCTTTCTTTTAAGGCTATAGTAACTTGCTTATCTATCTTTCCAAGTGATGCCATATGATACAAAGCATATACCCACAACTGCCTTTCTTACACAAAGGCTCTTTGTACACTATCTTCTGTTATAAAGAAGTGTCACCACCTCTGTGAAAGTACTTCACACATTCTCTTTCTACATGACTTCAGCTGATATTTTTTAAAATATATCTCAGTATATATTCCATCTCTTTATTTGTGTTTTCATGCAATTGGAATGGGAAACTTCAAGGAAATATATATGTTTGAAAAATTTGCACTGGCATAAGTTTTTTCTGTATAATCACCAACAATCTCTTTATGTCCCCTGAGAGGGGACATCAGAGTGGTTTGCTAGATTTACAAAGTCCTCTCAGAGGGGATATCTGAGTGCAAACGGTTATAAAGTAATATGTACTTTACATGTAACACAGATAGGCAAAACATGGAAAATAAAATAGTATTTTCATTATCCAATGACAAATACTATTAACATCTTCTAGAGTTTTTTCTGCTTGTATACTCATAAAGAATAAAATGTATATATAAAAATTTCTTAATGATTATATATTATATATACTCTTGTCACTATTTTTTCTCTTTAACAATATATCACAAATATTTTTCCATTGGCTTAATAGTTCCCATGGTATGAACTTAGCATAATGTAGTTACCCTGTGCCATGTAGTTCAACATTTGGATTGTTTCCAGTTTTTTATTATTATAAAACAGCTCTAGCTTTCTTTCTTTCTTTTAACTGTTAAGTCTGTGATAAGTATAAATCTCTGCATACTTAATTATTGCCTTCAGCTGGGCTCGGTGGCTCAGCCTTATAATCCTGCGCCTTGAGAGGCTGAGGTGAGTGGATTGCCTGAGCCCACGGGTTTGAGACCCGCCTGACAACTTGGTGACACCTCATCTCTACAATAAATCAGAAAATCAGCCGGGTGTGGTAGCGCGCGCCTGTAGTTCCAGCTACTCGGAAGGCTGAGGCGGAAGGATCACCGGAGCCCAGCAGGTCGAGGCTGCGGTGGCCGGGAGCGGCCATTGCACTCCAGTTTGGGCGACAGAGTGAGACTCCGACTCAAAAAAAAAAAAAAAAATTATTGCCTTCAAAATCTGGAAGAGGAATTTCTGTGCCAAAAAAACCTCTCAATTTTTAAGTCCCATGATAAATATTTTAAAAATAGCTCCATAAATAAGTAAAATTTCTTTTTAAAGGAATTTTGCTTTATGTGTCAAAAGTATTTTAAAATGTGTAGGAAATCTGTATCAGAAATAATCTGAAATATTAAAAAATAGTTCCTTGAGATTGATGGTCATGGTTTCAAGAGACCAGTCAGTGTGGCTGTGTGGTTTTCACAAGTACATGTGCAGCATAGGAGGTAAGTTAAGTTTTATTAGGTTGGTTTTTTGAGAACTGGTTGAGTTTTAGAAAGCAAGAGAAGGGGCAAAGGATTGAGCACGTATGCAAGGGAGTGACTTTTTTTTTTTTTTTTCATTAATCAGTATTTTTTATTATGGTTTTGTGGGGTACAG